AAATATTTTACTTTATAGGTTTCACTTTCTATTGAAAACAGAAATTTTCTCTTGTTAGCTCTGTCTAAAAATTCACAAAAATTTTGTGAATGTGTGTGTTATATTAAACATGTGAGAAGTAATATTAGTAGTAATTATGTGTTTACTTTAATAACGGTTAAAATATTAATTTTATTCTGTTCTGTTACCAATATTAAAATTTAATATTAATGAAGTAATATTATGGTATAGATATTATTTTAGAAATTATTATAGTTCACGAATAATGATGTATAATTTCTAAGTTTGAATAAAAATGTCAATAGGTGTAAAGTAAAATGCTTGCGTTAAAAAATTACAACTACATTCTCTTATTTTCACGCAATCGCAATTTTACAAATTATAATTCTTGAATGATAATACTCGTCGCAAGAACGGCAAACAAGACTTTCATCGTAGCGATAGAAATACCCTCTATTGTAATCCACCAATACAAAGGAGCCAAGCTACTCTTATCGCGCGTCTCTTTTAAACTGCCTTTACGTAGGCCTGAATAATACTTCCTTTTCGCCTAGTGGACGGCGGTTTGCACGCACGAAAAATCCTTTTTATTGTGGCAGGTAGTTGCATGTCTACAAGCTTACAAGCGCGTACACGTTCTCTGCACTGCTGATTACGGCGCGGCCATTATTTATTCTTTCTCTCTCCCTTTTTCTTACTCGTTCTTACTTGTTTCGAAAAAAAAAAAAAACGCGACACCTTCATAGAGTCGTCGAGTAGCACAAATAAAATTGCATCATAAAAGAGGAGCGTTTTTTATTAATAAAAATGACTGTAACAAAGTATCCAACTGATGAAACTTCTTTCTAGCACAATTTTGAAATGCAATTTTATGTGCAATTTCACGTGATTTGGACTTGATGTTAGAAATGTGAATTAAGTTTTGATTATTCAAAATGAAAATGAATCGTAATGTAGGAACAATGCACGATTGATATTTTTATAATTCGATCGTTACGTTTCACCAATTACTTTAATTTTTATAAAAAAGTTTCTTAATAAGTTTTAAAAACTAATTATTTATTGATGTCAGCAAAAGGCTAAAATATGAATAATTTTATACAAATTCATTAATTAAACATTAAAATCATGATTTATGCAAAAAAAATAAGTAATTTTAAGTAAGTAATTTTAAAACAAAAAATTCTTTTAGAATTATTAATTGGAAAAAGAGAAAGAAAATTATAGAAATACTACTAATAAATAATAAAGATGTACATCCTTTTCTAAATTCAATCTTCCCTCGTGCCTACATACCATGCGTTTCGCGTTGACGATTACGCGTGCCTACGCGCGAGGTATGAAAACAATTTCATGGATTTTGGTGAAGAATGTGGATAGACATGCGTATGACTGCAAACACGACTAGGATGCAGGTGTAATTATTATTGTCGCGCATTATGGAATGCGTTTTCATTTTAATATTTTTTCGACCGACGTACATAAATCATTATATTCAATCGCAATGTAATAATAATTGCGGTCCGGTTACGGCTAATGTACGATTAAATTCATTAGTTATTGTTCATTCATCACTGTGTGAAATATGTAAAGATAAAAAATGTTTTAGATAGAGATGGATCTTTCTATTCGTTCGCTGTTCTCTCGAGATGCAACGACACTGCTTATGTTCACAACGATACGATTTAACAAACGTGATTTTTTTTTCAAAACTATGTCGCGCTTAGATTTTTCGTGCACCCAGAAAATTTAATGCATTCGCGCACGAATAAAGAATAAAAGTATTTTAAATTTTACGTTGTAATTAATAATTTAGTTACAAACGTGAGATTATTTTCTTGCATAATAAATATACAGTTGTGACATTTTACAAAAGCAACCTCAATGTACAGCTTTAAAAAATACGTTTCTATTTTCTCTTTTCTGCACCAGTAGAATACCATGAGAAAGTAATGACAATGTACATTAATAAAAATTTTCGTACGCGAAACGTCTGAATAAAGGAAAAGATAGGGGAAGTAGAAATGTGTATTCTCTAAATTTATTTCGTTGCGTCGCTTTTATGGCAATATGGCATGCACGGTGCTGTCACTATCTAATGTAAATATTCAAAGCCAGGTATGTTTTCCACTCTTCATGAAAGTATCCCTTTCATCATTTTTACGGATCTTTCGCGTTCCCTTCCTTCTTTTTTCTCCACTTCGCCAACCAACCGAAAGACCACATTTTTTTACACATCGTTTGAGCATATTTGCTTGCATTACTGTCGCGTGCGTTTCTTTTTTTCCCTTTTGGTAGGCAGCGTTGCTTTCCCTCATTGCCAGCGGCTGACCAAGCGAGTCTGCATCCACTTTCCTTTTCTGATGCAGCTTGAACGCGATGCATTGATGAAAATCTCACCTCAGACATCGCGTACCGCGCCTTAACGAGCGGTAGACTGGAAAATGCATGACGCTATTTTTGCACACCGTACCGCATCTTTCGCGCATTTCCATATCTCTGCCGCCGGGCTTTCTCCCATGCTTTTCCAGACTTCCTCTTTCTCTCATTGCTAATGACTCACACGTTCGTATGTGTATGTACACGAGCGACACGCGTGAGTTCGAGATAAACGAGCGATTCTTGTCGCATTTGAAGACTCACGGGAGTAATGCTGAGAATTTTAATTAGAAGCACTTTCGTCGTGTTTACGTATAATTGGAGCTTGCTAAAAGCTTCGATATGTACCTTTCATTTTGTATTGTTTTCCCTTCATTTTGTACTTTTTTACCGTACCTTTTCATAGAGTTTCATCAACACGTTTATCAACACGATATCGGGTATCGCAAATATCTATTATTGTGTATTTTATCGTACGTGAGATATTTTAAACATATAAAATATTGATTCAAAACAACTTCATTTCGCCGAGTGTGTCTTAGATTCTTTAGAAATTGAAGATACAATATATTATGAATATTTAACATTTCTAGTAAGCGTTAGCCTGTAACTTATTTTCACTTCAAACTTTTTTACTTGGCGTTTTTGCTTTCGTATTTTCCGTTAGCTTCTCCGTTTCGTTTGGAAATTCGATGTTTGATGTGCATACAGGCGTATGCGCAAATGGGTAAACCAGCAAGAAGATTTCGTGCGCTAAAAAGGATTTCTCTCAAGACGAACATATATCCGCCTACTATCGCGCGGCAAGTTATTTTTCCTACAGAAGTAAACGGGAGAGAATAAAATTTCTGGCTGCGGGTTTTCTACTTCGTCCTATATCTGCAAGTGTTTTGCGGAATTATCCGGGATATTATGGAGTATAGCATGCCGGCACATCTTTGCGCCCCCCCCCTTATTTTCTACCGGCTTCCCTTTGAGCGTCGGCACATTTATCATGTATAACAAATTATCTACTTAATGCCGTCTACTTACTGCGACTTATTCTTAGCGTGCATATTTTCAGAAGTAAGTAAGCCAAATATCTTCGTAGAAAAATATTTACCAGTGCGCTTAGCCGATATAATTCCAAGAGATTATATTTAGATAAGCTTTGTAAAAGATTTACAGTCTAAGTCAAAATATGAAGAATCTTTATATCCAAACTGATAAATGTTTCTAGATAATTAAAAGACACAACACAAATTTATCTTTGCGATAAATAAAATTTTTTGCATCCTTTGACTAAATATAGATTACTCTCAGTTATCATAATTTATTGAAGAATAAAATTAAAACTAAGGATTTATTTAATATTATTTTATTATTTTCTGATTTTCTTTTTTAATAACGTATATAACGTATATAAATTTGCTTTAATTTGACACATTTATATATAACGTCGGTGAATATATTAAATTAGAATAATTAGATACATGCCAGATCGATATCAGAGAACTGAAAAAATGAGTAGGCGTTTCGATCTTAGGTGGTAATGTATCAGAACGCGATATGAAATAATGTGCATAATTTGCACTCTACCTTAGCATAATTAGTAAGGAAGTAATTATTAGAAGATTGCTCGCGATATCGTTTCTCTTAGATGGGATTAATACTTTATGAACGTAATGCGCCCTAATGCGACCTGTACCGCGAAATGTAAATTCCAGCGTTAACTTTTCGAGCGCCTCATTCAAGTTTCACCTGCGATTAACATTAAAGGAGCTTTTACGTTAAGAGCATTGCGCACAAGAAGATATTTCTTATTGATGTTTCCAATTTTCTACGATATATGCGTAAGGCTATTTAAAATAATATGAATTTACATTTATTACAGATTATTGTTACTGTGTCCATAGGGCAGCATTATTGATGTCTCCATCGTGGGCGTTGAAAGGGCATTCTCATGGACTTCCATGCCGATTGAAAGTGAAAGCTTTATTCACTTCACTCGATATAAGCGGCACTTCATAATTCCAAAATTTGAAAAGCTCCCTTTATAAACCCACAGTCAAGCCATTATAATGCCTTATTGTTCAATACATAGAAAGGAGCATCCCCTAGCACTTTTTAACGATGCAACGCACTTAGGAATTTATCAAGCTCCGTGTCTCCGCACATTATTATATCGCTCACGTGAATATCTCTCATCTTATCTAACCCATTGTACACGTTCATTATTATTGGTATTTCTCATTTTTCTTGCATGACAAAGAGATTAATGGTGCTGACAATAATTACGATAAAACTGACTCGCAAATCTATTAAGCTCAATATAATTGTATCTTACGTTTTGTCAAACTTCACTTTGACGCAGTTCGATAATGTTGAAAATATTTTTACACAATTATTATCATTGTACATAATTTTAAATAATTGAGTGAAAAATATATTGAAAACTCATTAAAATGCGACAGAGGCGATTTGATTTCTCCTCGCAAACAATAAGCATACAATAGACGAATAAATAAACAAATAGTTCGCAAAAATTTGTATTTATGGTGCGAATTTCACAGTTTATTTTGTATAGGAGAAATTGAGAAATACATTCTTATTTAGAAGAGATATTCTTATTCTTTGCTTACCTTTATCGAGCGATCTGGCCAAGAGGATTGTCGGCAGAATCAAGAAGACCATGTACCACGAGAGCCGGTCCCGCATCCTCGCGAGGTTCCAAGTCCTCCTGAAAAGATAACATTCGATTAATATCGCCGTCTTCGACTTACGATACTCTACGCTCATCTTTGCCCATGCCAGGACGATGCGCGTACGTTTCCGGAACGAGAAACTTTGCTCGCACGGAGAGAACTTCGTTTATCATGCTCCGAAAAGTCGGCCGCCAACGTGAATAACACGGAGAAACTCGGCGGAGAAAATAAGATTTTCATGTCTCTACAGATGTGCATATGGAAATGTACGTGCAGTCTAATCTGCGAGTAAATTTTACCTCGTACCTGGCGTAGCATTGACATGCTCGTAGAATTTACGTAGTATTTTTGTATAGAGCTTATTTCGTAGTTAATGAAAAGTTTTTCTCTCCTTCGAAACTTTTTTCAGTAATGTGACAGAATTTGTGTGAATCAATATTTCTCTCTCTGCTTCTTTTTCTTCTTTCTTAATTTTCAATGTTATATTTAATAAATCCAGTATATTTATTTAATGTTACAGAATTAAATACAAACAAAAGCAAAGTGTAAAATAAGATGATATTTAATATTAGATGATTTTTTTTTAAAGACATTACTCAGGACGAGATGTGTCTTGTCTTATTTTTGTTTTCAGTTCGGATTTTTATATTTCTTTGAACAGACAGATCGATTTCTTTTAATATTATATTATGAATTCAACTGTTCAATATTGCGAGTCGCAATTCTCTAGACACGTCTATAAATATCATAAAAGTTAAAATTAAGAATAAACTTTTAATTCAGCCACAGTTTACACAAGCCACAATAAATAATGAAATTTAATGCATTAATTCGAAGAATAAGTGCGATTTAAATAATTTATAATATTAATTTTCATATCTCGCTCGAAATATGAAGAAAATGGGGAAAAATTTCAATAGTGCATACGTGAGATATATTTGCTTCTAATTCATCGAAAGTTGCGTCGCATGAAAAATATCGCGCGTCGCGTGGTGTTTGTTCTGGCACATGCAACGCAGCGGCCCGCGGTTGTTCGAGACAACGCATCAGATCTCCGGATGTGGCGCGATACCGCATGTTTCAAAGCGCGAAGAATTTTGGAGCGACACAGGGTGCCGTCGATGCTCGCCAGCGAGAGGCTCGCGTTGCGTTGCGTTGCGTTGCGTTGCGTTGCGTTGCGTTGCGTTGCGTTGCGTTGCATTGCGTTGCGTTGCGTTGCGTTGCGTTGCACTGCGCTGCGCTTCGCGAACGCGATAAATTCACGCCACGCAACACGACGAAAATGAGAAAACGTACACCGCCACCGTGAAAAAGTACGGAACGGAAAATTGCTGATGTGACGCCGCTAATTTCGCGCAGTTCGTAAACGACAAAGTATGTCGTTGACACTTCGATTTTCGCGGCGAACTCCTGCCGGCGACGGCCACGGGAAGTAATTCCGAATTATTCTGATCGATAGACATCCCGCGGAAGTTTTTCTTTAACATGAACATTGAAATAAAATTACTGTATCGTTTCAACGTTCGAAATTTTCCAACGGCGCGCTGCGGCGCTTTAGCACGTTTAATTACGTTTGAAAATCAAACTTTAAATTCATTAATATGCATAAAATAAAGGTACTATCTTAAATTGTAAAATAAGGATACTGTCTTAAATTGAATTAAAGCTCAACGCTAAATTTTATAATAATATCTGATAATTTACAATTGTCATCGATGAAATTATTGTTTAGCAAGGTGATAACAAATAGGCTCTATTTATTCCGTCACTTTTTCTCAAATTCTCAATATGAGTGTAGACATCCAAGAATCACTCACTTTTTCAAATGTTCCATTTTCAAACAAATCTCTAATGCTTAAAATAGAGAAGGCAAGACTACTAGGTAACAGAGTTAACGAGATTGCGTAAGGCGTTGCTTCTTCGAGAAAATTAACGGTCTGATGCATCATATTCCATAATGAACGAACGAGTTAAGTTCCCGTTAGCTCGCGTAACACTCTTATCTGTCCGAGAATTGCGTAACGTGCAATTACACGTGTTGATTAAATACACAGGAGATTTGCGAAGTACAGGAAAGTACGTTCCTTTTTTCGTGACCAGTAGACCAAATTCTGATTTCGATTGCTCGGTTAATTGGGCTGTCTCGTCTGTAGCGAATATCGTCCGGAAGCACACTAATTGTAAGTAAAATGTGAAATAACCCCGACGATTCCCGATGATGACCCAATGATAAATCTGATCGAATTGCAAAAACCCATGCGTATACAGCATCGTTGTATCGTTTATGCTGTTTTCTGCTCGATATAATCTCGATATAATGAGTTATAATTAATGCTCAGTCAATCACGATTTTATTATTAATGTTTACCGTTACTAGCGCAACGAATGACAGCGACGGACAAATAAAATATTTATATATTTCATGATTCGTATGATGCGACATGCAACATTCAAATTTCGCACAAAAATACAAATATAAAATTAGAAATTACATAATCTTTAAATGCTATTTGTGTCTTTTATGTACTATTTTCAATTTTGACTAAAAGATATACAATCCAATGTTTATTTAATATTTATTCATGCAATTTCCCCATGCTTTTTGTTTGAAAATATCAAACTTTGTTTATGTTGGCTTTATGAAAAACTTTAAATAGACTCATCCAAATTTCGATTTCAGAGCAATCAGCATCATGTACAATATCGACAACTATTATTCGTATTCAATTTCTCGGATTAAATAAATAACGAATATTACTGATACCATTAATGGAAACATTCTTTATTTGTCTCGCCCATCTATCTAGAACGGAGTATGTGTTTATAATGAATGATGGCTGAATTGTTAATAAAAACGCAGCATTTACGTGGCTCTACTGCGTTTAACGATTATTATATTTTATGAATGCTACATTTGACGATTTAATTTACTTTATTCGCGTTAAATACTTATATGTAAATTATTTTGACCTAAATTTTAGAGTGTAAAATAAAGAAATTAACGTTATATTAAATAACATTTGTGATAACGCAGTTTATATATATAAAATAAATCTCTATTATTATTGACATAAATATTAATAATCTTGGAAACCATATTCATTAAATATTTATTAATTGCATAAAAAGTGTATCGGTTAGTTAAGCAAATTATACATTTGACTAAATATTACATTGCACGTTTAATTTTTAATATATTTAATTTAACTGGACATTATTTTATAAATATTAAATCCAAACCATAAATATTAAAAATTCATGAATTGCATAAAAATATATCTTTTAATCAGACATGTTATATATTTAATTAAACTAATTGTCCAGAAAGTGTCAATAAAGTAATACTGATTTAGAATGCGATCATATATTATATATTCTATATTCTATATTATAAATTTTCATAATAATTTTTTAACCTTGACGCCTCTTCGGAATTTTGGAATTTGTTCTTGCTGCAAAAGAATAATATACATCGAAATCCTATTGATCCAACATACATTTTTATTAAGCGCCGTAATCGCAGTGAAACCACTATTTATCCGAGTAATTGCATTGCGTGCATTACAAATGCCGGACATGTTTCATTTGGCATGCGGAAATTTGCCTTCCGTTCTCTCTACGAATAAAAGTTTTTTCAAATATCCTGCTATTCTCTTTTTTTTTTTTCGAGCCAATTGCTCGACACAATAAACGAATAAATTTTTACTCCATACAATTAAATTCTCTGGAAAAGGTTGAACAATGCTGTTCTCCGATGCTATGCGTGTCGAAAGTTTCAAATTCCAACTGATTTTAACGTCTCTAGTCCTAGATTTTCGCCGCAGGAATCCTTCATATTGGCTCGGATCGTTGACGCGCTTACATTTAGAATTATCTTTGCGCTCGGGAAATTCGTACGACGCGACGAACAATTTTTTGCGCTTAGAGCTCGCTTTCAATTTAAACTCAAACTTCGGAAAAAGTTTTAGCGAGAGCTAACCGGTAGCGTCGGTAGGTATTCACCGGAGGTCGCACACCGTGGAAAAGTTCGTGGGCTTTTGCACGGTGTGCGAGAGTGCCTTGCTACCGAACGAGCCAGAAATTATTGTGCGCGTTCCCTAAACGTTCCCCCGAGTGAAATCTTGTTTAATGGAATAATAGATCATGGTTTGGAGTATTAACGCTACGTCAATATTAGCGAACGTAACTAACGCTCATTTGTTGACGCGCGGATTCGAGCTTCAGTGATAATTCGCGCGAGTTGCGTCTGATTCTTGCGGCGAGTGGACACGACCGCCGCGGTTTAATCTCGCTGCTGTTTGTCGAGCAATCGTGATCCGATTGACGGATGCGTACCTCCGAGAGACACTTTTGATATTAGATTTGATCTGAAGACAGTACACGAGGTATTACTAGAAGATTACACGTATATAGACCGAACTTTACAAATGGATCCAAATTGTGCGTGCACAAACTTCTGTATGTGCAAAAAAAAATGAATAAGAGTAGACAGAACAATAATTAATTTTTATATCTCAAGTGAATGAAAAAAAAAAATGACTTTTAATACGATTTGCACAAATATTTCTTCTTTTTTGAATAAATATGAAAATATTTCTAATAACCGTTGTGATGTATATTGCGAGGCGTTACGGCACGGGTGGCAGGTAGTCGCGAAATATCTATTGTAACTTTTAATTAATTAAGAGATAAGTCGAAAGTGAACTCCGAGCAAGCGTGAAGCGCGAGGGAGATATTCGTAACAGCGCGGAATTTATTGTCCGAGTTAGAGAATTCTGGTCGTGCTATTTATCGAGCTGGTGCTTTATGTATGTACTTTTGTTAGTTGTTAAATCCCCGTTCCGTTACGAAAGTTTTCGCAATCCGCAACTTCTTCTCCCAAGGCGTGACAGGAGTCATCGGTGCGTTTTCGTTTGTAAAAGTAAATTCTTTGCGAATTATCGTCCCGTAAATATCCATAGGCGGCGACCTGTTACGGGTATTACGTGTGTCGCAAAGTGTTTTCGAGCCGCCGCGCACCGTAAAGCACTCG